CATGACCCCGACGTCTAAAGGGCTCCATAGACGTCAGACATTGCATTAACTAACATCTACTGCAGCTCGTGTCTTTGGGTAGTGTAGTAGCACCTTCTTCCTTTGCTAGTTTCGTCATAGAAAAGGTTGCGTCTTTTGGATCTCTTATGACATTTCAACCGAAAACCGAATCTGGGTCCTTGCCTAGTTCCATTAAAACCGCCAATGAAAACAAATGGTGACAATAGAACTAGGCAAGGACCGAAGTTCGGTTTTGGGTTGAAACACTATAGGACATCCAAAAGACGCAACTTTTCTTACAAGGAAACTAGCAAAGGGAGAATGCGGTACAACGCTACCCAAAGACACGAGAAAAACTGCACCAAAACACAACAAAAACTCATTTTAATCGGTTCAAATGAAAGATAATCAACCAAAGACTAATATAATCGGAATAAAAGTATGTTTAAACAGTTCAAAAGAGACAAAAACACACCTGGAAAAGCAATGCCGTGGAGAGAAAAGGAGAGAAGGAAGACGATGAAGTGCTCGTAACAGCGGGTTTGATGTCTCATTTAACAGCAAACTAGACGTCGGCTCCCTAGGTGAACCGACGTCTATTCTGGCCTAGACGTCGGGGCCCTCACTAATATGACGTCCAAAACAACTTTTCATCAGGCCATTTAGACGTCGGATGGCGTGATCTGACGTTTGTACGGCAGAAAAAAATAACTTTTAATCTACCTGTCAGACATACACGTCCGTTAGGAGGGGCACCGACATATATAATCGAATATAGACGTCGGGGTGGCGGGATCAGACGTCTCTAAGGCGGAAAAAAATGACATTTTACCTACCTGTCAGGCATTAAGACGTCGGTTAGGAGGGGCCCCGACGTCTATAATATTATAGACGTCGGAGCCCATCCTAACCAACATCTATATGACCACTTATTTATTACGAAAATGACACCGGTCAATAATTTAGGTTGATTATTTTGTGATCCAACGTCTACAGGATGACTTTAAAGCCCAATTCTGCTCTAGTGCATATATTTTTCATATAAACAAACACGGTTGTTAAGTGTATGCATTCGTAATGAATTTTATTATATCATAGTAATGGAATGAAATAAATAAAAGTATACAAATTTGGTAAAAATGTGATTAGAAGGAACATAAACCCTTCCTCTCTTTTTTTCCCGAAGTCCTACAAGCAATATAACACAATACGAAAACTCTGTTATATCAACACACCAATTCATCCAATACCGAGAAAACTCACTTTTCTTGAAAAGACTTGCAAATTCCCTACTTTCAGTAATAAGCTTTTTGAGGATTATTCGGTAAAAACAATTAAAACATGAAAACAAAGTTTGTCATAAATACCATCACACCATCATACCAAGTAACTAAACTCCTAATAGGAAAAAAAAAGTTCTAGGCATTATCCACCAAAGGATTCGATTTGTAACGATAATCAAACATCATCAACTTATATTATAATACAAATATTTAAAAAATACGAACAGAAATACGACAATATTTTTGTTTTTGCTGGTGAAATAATAATAATAATAATTAAAAAATAAATATAAATATAATAATAATAATAATCATAAAAAAATAAATATAAATATAAATATAATAATAATAATAATAATCATAAAAATAAATAAATATAATAATAATAATAAAAATAATAATAATCATAAAAAATAAATAAATAAAATAATAATAATAATGACACTAATAATGATAATAATAATGATAAGACTAATAACATTAAACTAATAATGAAATTAATAATGATAATAATAATGACATTAATAATGATGATAATAGTGATTATAATAATGACATTAATAATGATGATAATAATGACATTAATAATGATAATAATAATGATAATAATAATAAAAATTAAACTAACTTGATCAACATGTTTTTGCTTTAATGTGAGTTGAGAAGTCTTCACAAAAACAAAATTCAATGTGATTATATTAAAAAAACTTTATTAATTTATTTTACAAGTTTGTGAACTAAAATATATTAGTGTTTTTATACTTATTAATTTCATTTTCACGATTAACTTCAAGAAAAAAAATATTTAACATTTAAAAATATTATTTTCTAAATTGTTTAGAACATTCCTCAAGTATATATAAAGAAATACTAATGAATAAAAATTTCTTATGAGATCTCTTATTCATATCTTATGAGAATGGAAATTAACATCACATCAAGAGAAACCATTAAACCATCACTGCCAACTTCTGTAGAATGCAAAACCCTAAAATTATGCTTGTTTGATGTCTTTCAACTCAACACCTATTTTCCATTGATCCTCTTTTACAAAAACACCACCAACCTTGAAGGATTTTCAGAATGCTCAACTCAGTTGAAGAAATCACTATCTGAGGCACTAACCATTTTCTACCCTCTTGCAGGTAGAAGATGTGATTACTTTTCCATTGATTGCAACGATGAAGGTGTAATTTTCATGGAAGCTTCGGTGAACACCACCATGGAAGTTCTCTTAAAACCACCCAATCTAGAACAGTTAAACCAGTTACTTCCATGTGAGCCTATCAAGTGTCATCCTCACCAAGAAGTGTTGCCACAGTTTCTTGTTCAAGTAAACAAATTCCAATGTGGAGGAATAGCCATTGGCTTGTGCAACCTCCACATTCTCTTGGATGCATATTCTTGCAGTGCCTTCTTGAAAACCTGGTTTTCCATTTGCAAAGGGTCAAAGGGAGAAATCTCAAGGCCAAATTTCTCTTCTGCTGCTTCTGCCTTCCCTCCAGCAATCCCCACTAGTGTACGTCCTTGCATATTTAATGTAATAGAAGAAAACTGCACCACAAGAAGATTCTTGTTTGATCACAAAGCCATCAATGAGCTAAAATCCATGTCAACATGTGATGAAACAAAACCTACACGATATCAGGTAGTATCTTCATTCATAAGCAAACATATGATTGTAGCAATCAAAGAAGAATGTTGTGAAAAAACAAGGGCAGCGGTTGCATTGCATATAGGGGACATAAGAAAAAGGATGGGGGAACCTTTTATAGAAGGTGCCGTTGGAAATTTGGTTTGGCCTGCATTGGTATTTGTTGAGGGTGTGAACAAGAACACTAAGATCATAGATTTGGTTGAAATTCTGAAAAAAGGACTTGGAAAGCTCACAAAGGATGTGTTTCTAAACGTGCAGAACGATCCTAGTTTTTTGTGGAATGGTGAGTATGCAGAGCTAATGCTTGAAGGTATACCAAAAAATGAAACAATCTCCTTGGTGTTCACAAGTTGGGTTAATATTGGATTCAATGAAGTGGATTTTGGTTGTGGAAATCCTTTTTGGCTAGCTTACGGAGGAGGTACTAAAGTTACTACATCAAACTCAGTAATATTGATGGAAACAAGAGAGGGAATAGAGGCATGGATCACGATGACAGAGAAACATATAACTATCTTGGAACAGGACGTGGATTTCCTTCGATTTGCATTCCTTAATCCAAGTGTTTCAATCTGAATGTAGCCAATAAAAATAAAATGTAATGAGAGTTTCGTTTCTTTTGTTTTTCTTAACATCAATGACGAAATAAAGTAAATTACTTTTCTTCATAATAAAAAGAAAGAAACTGTGTAATTAGAGTTGCTAGATTTTTTTTGGTAAATTTTTAGTGTTGATATATTACTGAGTATTTCCACAACTCACAAATTAGATGAGGGCTATTGCTTTTTGGACATCCATAATTACTAATTACATTTCCATATAATAGAGAAAGATTAAATTATTCTTTATTGTTGTTGCCTTGTCTATGCTTCCATCGTTGCTGCTACTGTAAAGGAAGAAAAAGAGAGAGAAAACGCTGAGGAAATGAAAAAAATAAATAAATCATGAAAACTTTTTTCCAATACGCATTTCATGTGAGATTTCCTAAAAAATCTCATTCCAAAAAGTATATTGTGTTCTTGAAAGTTTATTCTGGAAATCGTATTAATTTGAATGCATTTCATGTCTACTTGAAATTTTTATTTCAAAAATTTATTCCCAAAATTCTCAAAAATTTCTTCCAAAAAGTTTGGATAGTTTGTTTCGGCAAATTTTTCGAACGAAGTCACTTTTTCGGAGGATATAAAGTCATCCTCTTGACATTTTGGAGTTGCATAAATAAATTGTGGAGGTGCATGAAATAAATGCCTTACACGAATTTTACCAGCGAGAATATAGCAGGTTACTTGTATCACGAAATCGTATGTAACCTAGAATTCAATTCTGTGCTTTCATTGATGGTACATTTTTAGTGGATCTAACAGATTATTGTGTATAATGAAAATGAAACTTTCTCCATGTATCTTTGTGAATGTGTGCAAACATTTTATTCTACAAGTTTTATTGGGTACACAGATTTTATGTATGACAAAATTGTGTTTTTACCATTTCAAATATATATATCTCATATTTTCTTCCAATTTCTTGAAATACGCTGATGATGAGATCTCTTCTCTTAGATGCTTTCTTCATGTGGCTTTTATTTTGTAGATATTTATAAGAAGGACCGCGATATTCCAACAACGTATTTTTAACACTGTTTTGACAACGCCACATGTCGTTGTTTGATTGGTTTGTTTTAAAAATAATATTTTTTTAAAACCTACGAAACGGAAGTCCGTAACCCTTATTTTTAGTGAAAATCCGAAAATAACCCTTTCTCTGTTCCATTGGAAACGAAGGACCGTTCTCTTGAAAGGTCGAAGGTCGCGTTTCGTGCCGCTTCACTTTGTTCTGTGTGCGTGGTGTTATCTCCGTCCAGTTTCGTCTCATGTTATCGTGCGGAATGGGAAGTTCCGGTGACCATTGTCCGACGACGAAGGTAAGTGGTTTTCCATTCCATGTCGTAGCTTGGTTATTCGGTTTGGGCATCTCGTAGCATGCTTATTTGGTTTGGGTTAAGGTTTGGGGTTGGTATCCTTGTGTTGTGGTTCTTGGGTTATTGGGTTTCGTTGTTTTGATGATTTTATTTTGGTTTATGCAGTTGAGTGTTCGTCACTCTTTTTCGACAA